GAAGATTTCTGTCTTCTGGGTTGCTGCGCTGTGTAGTCTGATCGATGTTAACCAACGTTTCAGAGGTCATACTGCCTCCGTCATCAGGGCGATGAATCATGGCCTGTAGTCTCGTTTAAATTGACCGAAGTTTAAGATGTACTTACTGCCTTTTTCATCAGGGCGATTAGTCGTTCCACCTCTGAAACGTTGGCCAATTTTTACGAGATTACACAGTAAAACCTGAAATCTCACTTTGAAATGATCGAGGAATATCAATGTACGGATAAATTACAAATATTGTATTCTAAATAAACCACCACAGCTGTTTGTACGCCACACGTGAAAATCTATCTTACGAGTTCTGAGAGGTCGATATGCCCTTATCCCCTATTCTAAACGCCTCCCTCCACCCATTTCTTACTCATGCTGCACAAACCGTATTGCTTCAACACACCACACCATTACGGCTGACGCAGATAAATAGCCAACGAATGAATTTATAGCAAAGAATGAGCGAGCCAGCACGAAGCTTTGGGACAGACTTTGTGCCACAGAGAACAATTTTAAACACGACACACACGTTAGCCGACAGCAACGATCTTTTGCATTATTTGCACCTCTAATATTAAAGTCAAATGACGTCAGAACTCATTCTCTTGTCTTATTTTTTTAAAAACAGACAGGATTACGCAGAAAAATGTGACAACGTTTTGTAAACTAAAAAAAACTTTAAATGTATAGTCAATAATGCAACTGAAACATTGCAATCATCGCTCAAAGGCACTTTATCGCATTACGTATATTTAATTCACAAAAATCACCAAATAAATAAAGCCTAAATAAACATTCACGACAACCGAAAGCGGTTAATGTTACACAGAAGGATATAACATTTGTAACCCAAATAAACATAAATATCCAAGCAGACGTGCATAAGAATAGGAAGGCTTAATTAAATTTTATGTCGGCGACTATTCTAACCTACGAAGTCCACATAAGAAATAAAGCCGGCAAGGAAATAAACTCAAGATTTTACTGAAGCAAACCAAATTATTATTCTAAAAAAAAGCGCTGCTTCTTAACACTTGTACTTAATACAGCCGATCGACCAACTCAGTATTTTATTGCTATGTTAATCACCACATTATTTCCTTATGGCTCATTAAATACATACATTTTATTACGTTTCAAATATATATTTCTTTACTTTGTTTTGATTGCAGGTGATTATGCCAGAGAAAACACGATTTCTTTCCTCGTTATATATTTCCTGCAGCAACAAATACCTCCTTTATTTGCAGAGAAATTTAAATAGACAGTGCATAATACACAATTATGACCAAATTGTTGGCTGAGCATTCGAAAGAAATAGTAACTCCACCTACGTGTATGTCTATCATCTATCGAACTGAAAATATAACACTCTCTGTGATTTAAACACTAACTAACTAACTAGATGGCTTACCGAACCTGAAGGTTCATCACTGAATTAACCAAAGCCCTCCACCGGACCCTGTCCTGGGCCAAAAAAATCCAGTCTCCTTCAACTCCTATCTCCCATAGATCCCGCCTGACATTATCCTTCCATCTACGTCTAGGTCTCCTCAGCGGTCTCTTCCCTTCAGGTTTCCCAACCAATACCCGGTGCACACCTCTTGTCCCATCCATGCGCGCTACATGCCCAGCCCATCTCATTCTTCTCGACTTAATCACCCTGACAATACTAGGGGAGGAGTACAGATTTTTAGGCTCATCATTGTGCAGTTTTCTCCATGCCCCATCGTCTTCCCTCTTAGGCCCAAATATCCTCCTCAACACCCTGTTCTCAAACACCTGCAATCTGTGTTCCTCCCTCTGAGTGAGTGACCATGTTTCACACCCACACAAAACAACAGGTAAGATTATTGTTTTAAATGCACAAATATATGCACATAAGGAATATAAGGTGGCATGTACATGCATTTTAAATCTTAATAAATCTATCATTTATAAAAAAATATCTACCTGACTCGCTCACTCATTCCATGGAGGCAGCATGTTCCTCAGAATCGTTGCGCGGCCTTACAACATAGGCGACAATCAGCGAAATGAGTGTTTCTGTCAGAACTGTTAGTACACGTGTGAGGCACATTAAGATCTTCGTGTTATTAAATTTGTCTTGAATGTAAATACGATTCACGTGGGACCGTGGCTCCAAGCAGAGACACGAGTTACTTCAGAAGTGGGTTCAGTTGCTCTGTAAGTAAGCAAACAAGTTCCGGGTCTCTCCTCTTCTACAAGCGGAACTACACGGCACCAGAAACCTAATTCTAGAAAATTAGTTTTCGCGTGCAAACCTAACTATGGCCTCCACATTCTAAGCCAACGGGCTAATGGAACAGTGATCTCATGGTGTTACACGAATCTAGAATATACTTTTCTCTCCCAAATTTAGAAAATTACTTCAAGAAGCTTTGTCTTCTTACTTGCTTTTCTAACATCTTTCTAAAATCAGGAAATACATTTAAAGTTTCCATTTGCTTTGTTCAAGGAAACAAACATAACATTTCGATTTGGCGTTCTGTCTATCAACTTTTCCCATCTGTTCTTATAATCATATAAGTAACGATGTTTTTGTCACACGATTAATTGTTTAACTTAGCAACAGAGGTTTCTTTTCACTATTAGTGTTCATG